TGAAAATATAGAAAGGGAAATTAGAGAACAGATTCTATTAACCTTAGCCCAAGAACCATAAGATACCTTGGAATAAACCTAACCAAAGAAGTAAAGGATCTGTACTCAAACTAGAGAACACTCATGAAAGAAATTGAAGAAGACACAAAAAGATGGAAAAGCATTCCATGCTTCTGGATTGGAAGAATAAATATTGTTAAAATGTCTATACTGCCCAGAGCTGTCTATACTTTCCATGCCATCCTGATCAAAATTCCACCGGCATTTTTCAATGTGCTGGAACACACAATCCTAAAATTTGTATGGAACCAGAAGAGACCCCGAATCACTAAGGAAATGTTGAAAAAGAAAAACAAAGCTGGCGGCATCATGTTACCTGACTTTAAGCTTTACTACAGAGCTGTGACCACCAGTTCTGCATGGTACTGACCTGTGAAGCTGGCTGATTTAAAGTCTTTTCCAGTAAGTCCAGTATCTGGCTTTTTCAGGAACAGTTTCTGTTCACTGCTTTTTGTCTTGCGTATGTGTCATATTTTCTTTCTTCTTTGGATGCTTCACAAATTTAGTTGTAACTTGATATTTTAAGTAACATAATGTGGCAACTGTGGACATTAGGTCTCACCTTCCCTTCCCCTCTCCCCAGTCCTGGGTCTGTCGTTTCCACTGGTTGTTTATTTAATGACTTTCCTGGACTAAATCTGTATTCTTTGGTATGTGAAGCTACTGAAGGCTGTTCAGTTAGCTTGGTGATCAGGTAATGATTGGATAGGGATATCCTTAAATGCTTTGAACCAATTAATTTCCCATCTTTTTCTGAGGTACTCTGTGCCTTCGCATTTTGCTTATATGGGGACTCAGGGTCGCCAGAGGTGAAACACTAGGACCTTTTCAGATCTTTCCTGGGCATGCTCACAGCCCTACACATGTGCTTTCTAAATTCTCAGGAATGTGTTGGAACATCTCAAAGCCCCTCATGTATATCCTATTCCCCACTTTTGTTTCTCAGCTTCTTTTTAGTCCCCACAGGGAATGCCACCTCAGATAGCTATGATATTAAACAGCTGCCTCTGATCTTTTTGACATGTGTCAGAAATGTTCTAGGAATAGGGCATTGTGAGCTCTAAGTCAGACTGAAGACAAGCCCTGAGAATGGAGCCTTTCAGGGAGCTGCTAGACAAACAGCAATTCTCTGGGGATGGGATTTTGGGGAAGCTCTCAACTCAGTTTCTTCTTACCATGACTTCTTACCATGACAGCACTATGGCTGGAAGCCTGTTGGTTTTGATGGCTATCCCTGAGCTGGGGAGAGAGGGATGAAATTTGTGCAAGTTATAACACCGCAAGTCTCACTGATCTTACTGAGATGCAGTTGTTTTTCTTGAATAAATGCTCTTTGGATTATTGTAAACTTTTAATTTCCAGAGTTATGAAAAGGCTCATTCTGACCATTTGGGCCAAGGTTCTTGCTGCTTTTATGCAAGAACAGGTTTTTGAAGGTTCTGACTGCCATTCCAGAAGTTAACTTCTCTCCTTAGTGTATCTTGTTGTTATCTTAAAACACATGTGTTTGGTATGATCATTTCTAACATGCATACTCCACCACAATGAATGAGTTTTTCTGGAAATACTGAAAATGAAATGAGATGTTTTTCTAGCAGGCTAATTGTTCCAGCCCTTCATCTTCTGACCACATTCTAGATTTTCTAAGTCTAAACTCTATAACCACCCTGATTTTTTTTATAGCCTCTTCTCTTTGCATCCACAGCCTTTTATGGTATCCTTAACCTCCTCTCTCCCTGCAGAGTTCACTAGGGATCCTTAGTTGGTAGGTGGGTTTCTGGTTCAGGCTGACTTAGCATGTTAAATCAGCTTTGGCTAATCTATACAGGCCATGCAAAAATGCCTCAGCATTTTTTTTCTTTTACAGTATTTATTTACAAAAATAGTACTTTACTAATCACATATATATTACTTGTCTCTCAGGTCTAACTGGACAAATGGCCCATCTATAATGATTTTTTTAGGTAGTATTAATTATGTACCTCATTTATTTTACCTTATATTTGAGATCTTCGAGACCATACATCAGTTGAACTCCTCAGTATCTGAACATAAATATACAAGGTTTTGGGAAGGTATAAATTCTATTGTAGTAGGACCCTGTCTTTCTGGGGCAAAGAAATCTGACAACTCTGAATTTTATGATATTTTGGGATAACAAGACTCTTGTAGTGTAATCAGTAAGCAATAGAGAATTTTTAAAAATTTTAAAATTTCAGAATATTATTAAAAGGGAAGCAGACAACAAGAAGTTTTGTCAAGTTTGTGGAGAAACTGCAGGCCTGTGCCTTAGTGGTGGGAATGGAAAATTGTGCAGCTGCTGTGGAAAGCTGTATGGCAGTTCCTCAGAAATCTAAAGCAGAATTACTACAAATTTTATGCTATGACAATTTTTAAAAAATGAAAAATAATTCAAAATAATGCATGTTTTAGAAAAAAGTGTGGTACAGAATTGGTCAATTAAGAAGTAAAGATTTTCCCTTGTCCTTCCACTTTGGGAAAGTTTGGGATGTGGCTTTCATGAACTTTTTCTGTGTGCATATCAACACAATTGTTTTATTTATTTATAAATTATATTTATATACAGTATATAATTATGTAAATTTTTAGTTAGTAGCTATCTTGTTTTATTCAACGATATATTAAAGATGTCCTTTCTTGTCAATACAAAAAATTTGCCTCATGCTCTATGTAGCAGCCCTATGATAGTCTATGGTGTGCCTTTGCTAAAATGTAACCACGTCTTAATTCAAGTTCATTTACATTATTCTGCAGTTTTGTATTGTAACACTTTTTTTGTTGTTTTTTATTAATAAACATTAATCTTTGTACATAAAACATTGCACAATCACAACATGGATTTTTGACTGCTTAATATTGCCAAATATTATGTCATAGAGCAGTAAAGTTTATGACACATACTTAAAATAGTATGTGTCAATTGTATAATTGCCTGTGGTTATGTGTATGTGTACACATATATGTAAGGTAGCCTTTTGGAAATTAAAACAGTTGTCCCAAGTTTTAAATAGTGTCTGAATCTACAGACCAGTTCTTGAAACATTTTGCTTAAAATATGATAAATTTAATGCGGGTTATGCTATAAAAACTAGCCACAACCTACAGTTGTACTTATGTGGTAGAATGGTTTTAGAGTTCCATACAGGAATATCAAGAGCACAGCAAACAACCTATCCTGAACCATTGGTGGCTAATCCTGGGGCCTTGATCAGGGTCATGGGCAGGATAGGAAACTGGGGGCTGAGAAAGAATAAGACAGTGGAAGAGCTGGGGTGTCAGAATTGGGGGGAGGAGCCGAGGTCTTTTGATTTCTAGTGTTTTTCTAGTGTACAGACCTTTGAGACCATTGATCTCAAATATAATGTCTGTTACAAAGAAAACATATTGGATCTAATTTTATTTAGTGTTAGGATTCTGCTCACATTCTGATTAAACAAACATTTAAAAAGCATGCAGATATGTTTCTAGCAATAGCTATGATCTATATCACTATTTTTGGCTAACTGGTCATTTCATTTGTTTTTTAATCTCAGAGTTTGGGGCAGTCAGAAAAAGAAAGCTAAGTAAAAGACATCCTTAGAAACTTTTTTTTTTTTTTTTTTTTTTTGGTAGATTACAGTGATAAACCTGCAGTTTTGGTTCCATATTTTTGCTGGTATTTGAGTGGGACAAGTGACTACAGAGAAAAATTTATTTGTATATCCCACAGGTGACTTTTACAACTGTCCAGAACTATAGGAGTTCTCCTTTTTTCCTTTTATACCTCAGAACCCTAAGAATTGCCTGCAGTATCCATGTCTTCTTACCTCTTGAGGGATTTTCCTCTTTAGAGCAGTTTACAATTAGTCATTGTTCTTCTACATGATAGGGAAGGGAAGGATGATGAAATGATAAGTATTAGATTAATTTGACTAAACTTACACAAAATAGTATGCATAAGAAGGATGGCCTTTCATTATTATTCCACTCTCACCATCTACATTTAAAAACCCTCTTGCATGAGGGAGTAAAAATGATATTCACACCAAATCCTAGTAAAGGGGCCTTTGGGTATAATTTGATCAGCCTTGGAATTCAGGTGCATCTGGAGGGCTGGTGCTTTAGTCTATAAAGGAGGCACAGATCAGGTCACGGGCCCAGAAGCCATCCTTTCTGTTAAATCCCGAGCTGGATGCTTTCATCTTCTCTGTACCATGTCTTGATGGGTCCTTCAAGTCTCCTTTGTGCCTGACACACAAGTCTTTGTGCCCCACTCATGATCTGGCTGGGTGATCACTTTCTGTCATGTTTGCTGTAGGAACAGTTTGTTGCATGTGTCTTTGGTTACCTTACAAATCCTTTGTTTCTAGTTCACAGCAGTGTTCTAAAAGGTTAATGAGTCAAACATCACTGTCCTACTACAAGCTCTTTTATTGGACCAAAATAAAGAGAGGTGAATATTACATATAAAATTGCAATTTTGAATTTAACCATTTATCTTTAGGTTTCTTAAAAAATGGGATTATCATGTGTAAAGTTGTTTAAATTTTACCTTTCATAGGGTTTGGGTATACTATATAAAATGTGGGGTTATTTGAATTCAGTATGACAGATAATAACATCATGAGGAAATTTCTTGTTAAAAACTTAGGGAGAAAAACAATTTCTGGAAACTAGACCTTTACAAATAGACTACTTCTGATGAAATATAAATAATAAAATCTTGGCTGTGGGAAGTCTCTTTGGAGTCCTGCTAGCCACTTACCTCTAGACATTGTCTCCAGCTTCAAGTTGAGTTTGAATTTCCTCCCTTGACCCAGCTGAGAAACTTACAGAACATCCTGTTAGGGACAGTATGGTAAGGTCAAAATGCATTTTTCACTGATTATAATAACTCCACCCAAAGCATAATAATGTAAGAAATTGTGTTTTTATCTCAGGACTTGGGCTAGAGTCTGATGACCTTCCTCATCAGATGAGCATGAGTGATTGGCCAGAAATGAAGAAGAGATTTGCAGATGTATTTGCAAAGAAGACAAAGGCAGAGTGGTGTCAGATCTTCGACGGCACAGATGCATGTGTGACCCCAGTTCTGACATTCGAAGAGGTTGCCCACCACGATCATAACAAAGAACGGGGCTCGTTTCTCACTGATGCGGAGCAGGGTGTGAGTCCCCGCCCTGCACCGCTGCTGTCAGACACCCCAGCTGTCCCTTCATCCAGAAGGGATCCTTTTGTAGGAGAACATACTGAAGAGATACTTCGAGAATTTGGGTTCAGCCAGGAAGAGATCAGTCAGCTTACCTTAGATAAAATTATTGAAAGTAATAAGCCCAGAGCTCATCTCTAAGTTCCAAGCCTCCTGTGAATTGAATTTGAATATTCAATTTGAATGAATTTGAATTTGAATATTGCATGTTCGATATAGAATAATACATAAAATTCTAAGTATGGAAACATGAAGGAACAGTGGATCAACTGTTCTAATCAAGAAACAAGACTGATTACTGATTACTGATTGAATTCTGAAAATGGTTAACATGGCTTTTGATTTAGGAATGTTTTCAGTTTACCACTATTAAATGGTAACAGTTTTTCTGCCTTTCAATTTGATAGATTATATTTTTAATATTAAAATGTTAATTGGGTACCTGAGTGGCTCAGTCAAGCATCTGCCTTTGGCTCAGGTCATGATCTCAAGGTCCTAGGGTCAAGCCCTGCCCACATCAGGCTCTCTGCTCAGCAGGGAGCCTGCTTCTTCCTCTCTCTGTGGGCACACATGCCTCCACATGCACGCTCGCTCACATGTGCGCGCGCTCTCTCTCTCAGCTCATTATCTCTTGCTTGTTCTCAAATAAAATCTTTAAAAAAAATTAAAATGTTAACAATGTACCTTAAATGAATAAATATAATGCTTTTTATTAAATAAAGCCTTTTCTCTCTTAAAGTTTAATTATGCTTTTAAGTTTGTGAAAAGCTTTTAAGAAAGTCCTTTAAATAGCCCTTAAAAACCATTTTGTGGCTCATTGAAATAACTTTGTCTCTACTATTTACCAAAATGAAGTCCTTAGATAGAAAAGTCTGATCCTCTTTATGTGATAAGAAAATCATTCAACCAGTCTCTTTGAATTGGAATTTTAGAAAATGTTCTTGAGATTTCTTTCTTATAATCTCCACTCTCCATCTAGACCACCATACTGAGAGTCTGGCTCCTCTGTGTGGCTGCCTCTTAGCATTACCCACCCATGTCTCTCTCAGTAAATTACCATCCATTTGGAAGTCCTTCTAGACTCTTCCTCCTCTTACCAGTCTCCAGCCTCCATGCCCACCATGTCCGCCTCTGCCCCAGTAGACCCATGACTTACCCCTCAGTTCACCTTCAGGCCCCCTGCCCAAATGTCACCTTAAGGAGCACCCTTTCCTGACCCCTCCCTAGAATGGCAGCCACTTCATCATTCACTTTCTCCTCACCCATTTTGTTTTCCTTCATGTCATATATCATTAATGACATTATACTGAATAGCCCCAGCCCTCTTAACCAACTGCCTCTTAACCAAGGCACCCTAGAATGAAAGCTTTATGAAGGACTTTGTGGGTTTTGGTCACTGCTAAATCCCCAGTTCCAAGAACAGCACCTAGCCCATAGTGGAAACTTCGTAAATTTTTAATAAAGAAGTACATCTCAGTGAAGTGCTATCAGTTCCATCTTCATAGCTCTGGACCAGTCCTTTCTGTCCAAAACCTTTTGTGCCTTCATTCAGGCCCCTGTCATCTCTGCCTTGGCCTACTGCTCAGCTTGCCTACCTGACTTCTGACCTCCAGTATGACTGCCTTCATTTATTTTTGTATCATGTTTACTCTACTGGTAATCTTTATCCTCCCAAACTGGTCTTTCAGTCCTGTAAAATTCCTCAATGGTCCTCTCTTTTTCCTGTATAACAAAATATAAATCCATTTATATAGCGTATCAACTCTTTATTTATAACAAGACTTCTCCCTAGCTGTCTAGTCCCACCTGCACTCCCTGCTCCCCAGCACTTTACAAGGCACTGCCTTAAGTTCCTAATTATGTGGCGCTCTCTCTTGCTTCCATTCCTTTCCATATTCTGTAGTGTTAAAGCAGCATTAACAATACTCCTGGTCAGTCCCTTTTGCTCCATGTTGCTGATTTAGCAAACTGAGACTTGGCTGAAACACAGCCTTCTTTGTGAACCTTTCTGTGTTTCTCAGCCCTAGGGCGGTTTCATACAGTGGTTGTGAAATTTGGAGTCAGAAAAGTCTTGGGTTCAAATATCACTCAGTCACTCTGGTGTCTAAGACAAGACCTACTATGTGCCTGGAACATCCTAGGTGCTCAGTAATTTTTAGTTCTATTCTTAGGGGCCCTTTCTATGTTTCCGTTGCACTTAATACATTTATCCAAAGATAGTCATTGCTTTTAATGTAGTTTACATAACTCTTCATGAGTGATAAGCTCCTAGAGTAGTTGCTTTAGCACACAGAATAATCATCTGGAGATACGGTTAAAATATGGGTTTCTAGGCCCACCCCTAGAGATTCTCATGCACTATGTCTAGGGCTAGACCCATGAATCTGCAATTTTGCCAAGCTTCCAGCTGATTATCATACTGCTGGTTCAAAGCCCACACTTTGAGTGGCACTGTCCTAATGGATATGAACCAAGTCTTTTCCCCTTTGTTACTATCATAATAGGTGCTCAAAAAGTATCTGCTGAAGGGCTGATGAGGGGAAGAATAAAAGCTAGTTGACAAAAATCTGTAAATAAACAGATGGGTTAGCTCAAAATGTTGATTTCTGTGATTAATTGACTTCATATCAAATGTTTGAATGAAAAATTATATTTTGTAGAGTATAAATTTTTTAAAAATACACGTATATAAATAAAGTTAATAATAGTTTTTTTAAAAGATTTTATTTATTTATTTGAGAGAGAATGAGAGAGAGTATGAAAGGGGGGAGGATCAGAGAGAGAAGCAGACTCCCCGCTGAGCAGGGAGCCCGAAGCAGGACTCCAGAATCATGACCTAAGCTGAAGGTAGCTGCTTAACCAACTGAGCCACCCAGGCACCCAATCATAGCTTTTGTTAGTGACCCATACTTTGCTTCTGAAGAGTCTAAGACCTTGTGCAGAAACTGCTACACTTTCTCTTTTGTTGATCTTTTGACAAAGTATAGACTTAGGAATAGGCAAGGGGGCAGGTGAGAAGAATGTAGGAGGCTGTAAGAAGGATGGAGGGGAAGCAGGAAATTGAAGATGGCAAATTCTAATGAAGGACAGATTATATTCTTGAATACATAGAAATTTTATTCTTGAATGTATAGTTTGATATACACTGATTTGCACTTTTCTCTTGATCCTGCAATGTAGGAAGTGATACAAACTGTATGGTGATAAATAAATCCCATGGAACAAGACGACTGACTGCATCCAGGCCTCTTTGTATTCACATCACTCCTCCAAGCACATTATTGACTTCCGTTACAATTACATTTCACTTTATAACTTGCAAAATACTCTTCCCTATGTCACATCAGGATGCCTTTAGCTGGCAGTAACAATATCCAAAATATGAAATGTTTTGGCTCACATACCTCGAATCCAAAAGGATTTTAGAGTTGTCTGAATCCGGTCACCCAGACCCTACTTCCCTACATTCTTTTGGCTCTGCCAACTTGCCAACCTCCTTATGTTCACTTTATCCTCAGCCTGGTAACAAGTTCTAGATCTCATACCATACACAAGGACATCCAGAAGAAGAGATGGTCTCAGAAACCATCAGCAAATCTTGTCTTATGTCTCTTTTGATGATCAGTCCTACGCCAGTCTTTATCAGAGAAGGTAGGGTTGTCCTTAGATAAAACCAACCTGCTCCTGGACCTCCCCTGGACTCAGCTAGCTGGAAGCATGTGGGTGTGTGAGGAAGGGGTGGATTCTGAAATCTAATCCAGGTCCCATCAGGATGGAAAGAGTGGAGAAAGGATGTTGGGTAGACAGGCCAAAACATTCATTATATATCGTATCCCAGTCTCTGTTCAACAATCACAGGGGTAGATGGGGGCAGATTTCATTGTATAGATGAGAACGCAAGGCTCAGATGGTCTTAAACCTTCTTTGTTCACGTCTTCCTTTGGGCCTGAATAATTTTTTCGTGGTTCCCCTAGGTCAAAAGAAATATCTAACCATTCAATTTATAAACAATTAGGTCCCAACAACTTCAGTATTTATGCCCTAACAGCTAATTCGCTGTTTGTAAAAATAAATAATACACATAAATTGAGAGAAAGCATTTTTATTTTTATTTCATTTTTAACACACTTATGGCTCATATATGTGTTGGACATTGTACAGCGTCTCGTGCCTCAAAATCAGACTGGACACTACTACCCCCATTTTCTGTTCCACATTTGTCTTCATATACTGTTGGCTTCTTTGAAAGGATTAGAGTGCAATCTTATGTTGAAAGTGTGAACTATTTCACTGATAGTTCAAGGGGTGTCTGACAGATGTTGAGTTTCACTCTGTTTACTATCTTCAAAATTTTAAATATCCTGAGGCTCCCCTTTGAATTCAGTGTGGTGTCCTGGGGCATCTTGGCACACAGTTTGGGAACTGCCAGTTTAAGTGATTTGCCCAAGAAGATATGGCTAAGAAGAGGCAGAACCAGAATTTAAATTTTAATATTCTGACTCTGAGTCTTGCTCTTGAACCATTTTAGGGTCCTCCCCTTAAGATTGTGTTCCTCTTGCGCCAGAGACTTTTCACTGGAACTCATGGTCCAGCAGAGAAAATATGACCCACTCAGAGTCTTAAAACAGAGGAAATTTATTATTACACCATAAACAAAAATAAACTCAAAATGGATTAAAGACCTACGTGTGAAAGCTATAACCATAAAATTCCTAGGAGAAAACATAGGTAGTAATTTCTTTGGCATAGGCTGTAGAAACGTTTTTCTAGATATGTATCCTCTGGCAAGGGAAACAAAAACAAAATTAAACTATTGGAACTACAACAAAATAAAAAGCTTTTCAACAACAAAGGAAACCACCAACAGAACAAAAGGACAACCAATTGAATAGAAGAAGATATTTGCAAATGACATATCTGATAAGGGGTTAATACCCAAAATAAGTAAGGAATTTATACAATTCAACACCAAAATAATAATAATAATAATAATTCAATTAAAAATGGGCAGAGGACCTGAATAGACATTTTTCCAAAGAAGACATACAGATGGCCAACAGACACATGAAAAATCCTTAACATCACTAATCATCAGGGAAATACAAACCAAAACCACAATGAGATAATCACCTTATGGATGTCAGAATGACTAAAATCAAAAACAGAAGAAAAAACAAGTATTGGCAAGTATGTGGAGAAAAAGGAATCCTCCTGCACTTTTGCTGGGAATGCAAGCTGATGTAGCCACTGGGGAAAACAGTATGGAGGTTCCTCAAAAAATGAAAAATAAAATTACCTTATGATCCAGTTAATTCCACTACTGGGTATTTGCCCAAAGAAAACAAAAACACTAATTTGAAATGATACAGGCATCCCTATGATTCTTGTAGCAACATTTATGATAGCCAAGATAAGGAAGCAATCCACTGTCCACTGATAAGGAATGGAT